CCCTTCCTGAAAGGTGTCCCTTCTGGGCAGGGCCAGGGGGACATCTGTCCCTCCACATGTTGTGTCCAATTCTCATCCCCCACTTAGGGACAAAGTCAGCCTACATTGTGTGTTTAGCTTTCCATTTGCTTCACTCTTTTGTGCTTCCAACACACCCTCACCCCAGTCTGGGCAGAGTCTGGCCCCCCAAAGAACACAAGACCGGACTATTTGTGGCTCCCGCTGCAGTGGCTGGACCTTGGACCACAATCTGTGCCAGGAGCAGAGAGGTCCCTCCCCACAGAAACTTCTTGGCAATGGAGTTCTTAAGAAAACGGGACAGGCTGTGGGGATCACTTGCAGAGCACAACCAGGGACGTGTCTTGAGCATCCTCCTGTTTAACATGACCAGCTTTTTCATCCTCTTTTCTCTCTGTTTCCTCATGCTTGTTTCTTTCAGAAACCACTGTGATCCCACCATTTCCCTTCCTTTGATTCTTCCCTAGAGATCCCACCACAAGTCTTGCCCAGTCCCTAAATGTGCCTTCTTGTTGCCCATCATAAGACTCACACCTCAAACAGAATCCCCCATCTTCAACTGGCAAGGTCATCCTGGGAGGCTCTGCCATTGACCCGTTTGGTGAAACTTTCACACAGAGATGTTGGAACTTTACTTGAATTGACTTTTTACCTTTTGGGTTTACAGTGGTTTCTCCAAAAACATGGTAATTCATGCCCTAGCAACAGAAATTCTTTGGAGAAGGAGTTTGGGACTCAAAGAATCACAGAATGATTTGACTTGGAAGGGACATGAAAGCTCATGTGGTCCAAGTCCCTGGACACGGAGAGTGACGTCTTCAGGCTGCTCAAAGTTCCTGACCTTAGACAAATCCAGGGAGGGAACATCCTCCTCTCTTGCAGTTCTTACCAGCCCCATTGGTAAGTATTTCTTCATTTTATCCAATATAAAGCTCCCCTATTTCAGTTCAAAGCCATTGTCCCGTGTTCTGCCACTACAGGCCTTGGCAAAATGTATCCCTGTGACTATGTTAGACCATGTTTTCATCTGCAGACACCTTGGAGAGTGCTCAGAGATGTCCCAGGAAGGGGGTTGGAGGTCTCAAACACATGACCACTCGACAGGGGCAAAGGAGTCGTGGGTTCAGTGGTGTGCAGAGGACAGCAGAGAAGAACCCTGGGAGTGCTTGAAGAGTCGCTTCAGAGACGGGTGGATGCTTTTGTCATAGCAGAAACAGCATGAGAAAGAAAGAATTAATGCCAAGTGCAGTTGGGGAGGTCCAGGCTGGCATGAGGAGAAAAGAATTTCACTCCAAGGGCAGTGCTGTGGTGCAACACATCACCCAGAAGGAGTCTGGATGAGCCCAAGGCTTTGTGTGTCCAGGAAGAGCCAGGGAGGACGCAGAGATGTCAGTGCAGGAAGGTGCCAGCCAGGTGGGGCAGCCGGGGGGATGACGACAGCCTGCAGGGAAAGGGGCATGGCATGGACACCGTAGGACAGCCTGGGCTGGAGAGGAGACAGGGAGGGGGAGAAGCTGAAAGGGCCTGACAGAGCCACCTTCTGCAGGCCTTTGGCCATGGCTGCTGTCTGTGCCCCTGATGCCAGGAGGAGACAAGTGGCCCTTGCAGCCCTGGGGCCTCATGGCCTCCTTGTCCCTGCTCAGCAGCCTGGCAGGTGCCACCCCATGGTCCTGCCCTTGGCATTGCACATCCCACATCCCAGTGCCCCAGGAAGAGCCCTGAGGAATGAGGCAGGGACAGGATGTGCCTTCCCAGGGGCTGGTGGTCAGGGCTTGGTCCTTTGGATTAAGGAAACAAGTCAAGGTTTATTCAGCATCAGAGCCACCTTTCCCTTGCTTGTCCATCCTTGTCATCACTGTCTGCAGTTTTCTGCTCTAACTGGAACCTGGGGACACGTTCTCAGTTGTGTCCCTCAGTGAGACTCATTAGCACAACAAGAAACTTCAGTGTTTCAATCTCATTTTGACTTCTTGAAAAGTTGTTTGTACTTACTCTCAGGAACTGAGACTCATGTAAACAACGCCAAATCCCCCCGAGGGTCATGAAATTCCTGGGGCTGTTGCTGTGCTACTGAGCTGGGCTGGGCTCCTGGCACACAGGGAGCTCCTGGCAAGCGAGCAGCACTGCAGAGAGACAACTCTGCTGGTGAGCAGCTCCTCTGCACAGCCCAGCAGGGCTGAGGGCACTGCCTGCAGGAACTGAGTGGAGAGAAGCAAGGCAGAGGGAGGTTAAAGGCAGTAGAAAGATGGGAGGTGTTCAGCTGAGATTTCACTTGGGGACACAATTTCACAGCCCCTGCAGAGTGAGTCTACAGATGCAGGGCAATGTCACTTGTGTGCCTGGAGGACTCTCCTAAAGCTGCACATCCCACAGCCTTAGGCATCTGTCAGGACTACCCCAGGTTCTCTGGTGCAGAGGAGCAGGATGTGTTCCAGGGCTGGGCTTCCCTGAGACACCATCAGAGGACCAGGGCAGGATCGCTCCTTCTCCTAGGGCTGGCTGTGGGATGTGAGGGTGGGGGTGCAGCCAGGGGTGCCCAGGGCTCTCTTGCAGAGCAGGGTCCCTGTGCTCCAGGGTTCTTTGTGCCAGGGCAGGGACTCTGCTGCCTGCCAGGGTCAGCAGTAACCCTACATGGCCATTTGCCCTCATCTCTGCAGGGAGAAGCTGGAGGTGGAGGGAGAGAAGCCCAGCAGGGCCCTGGCAGGGTCTTCCTGCCCTTGAACGAGTGCTGTGTGGGGTCAGGGCTGCTCACAGATCCAGATCACACCAGAACCTTTCCAGGGGAACTTTAAAATGGGAAGGACAAAGCACAATTATTAGGAAGGAAAGGAGCTTTTCTGAGTCAGTGTTTTCAGTTTCCTACTCCTGAGGAATCTGGGGCTTGAGAGTGGAAAAGGAGCTCTCATGTTGGACAAGTCACTAAGACTCCTGAGCTGTAACTTTGAATGAACAGTGGGGCTGAGAGCAGCTTCCTAAAGTGCCTTCAGCCTCTCCTCTGCCTTTGGCAGAAGCAGCATCACTTTTGATGGAACCATCAGTTTTTTCCTGACCTGCCCTTTTCCACCTGCAAACAAGAAGTGCCCAGTCAGTGCCCTGCAAACAGGCAGGTTTCTGTAGGGCCAAGGTGAGTGCACAGAGGGTGGGATGGAATCTGTGAGTGCTGACAGGGCGAAGTCATGGCACAGGGAAACAACTGAAACACCTCCAGTGTCATGGAATGTTTAGAGATCTCCATATGACCCCTTCAGAGGGAGGTCTCTGAACAAGCCCCCTCCCCTCCTCTCCCACCCAGCCAAGCCTCTGCCCTCAGGGCCGGGGGGTCCAAGGGCTGAAGCCCCTCCTGCACAGGCAGAGCTGCAGCAGAGCCGTGGGGCAGCTCTGCAGCCCCGGGCCCAGCTCCCTGAGCAGAGCACAGGGCTGGGAGCAGCTGCCCGGCCCTGCTGAGCTCTGGGAGGTGGCACAGCTGGCTCAGGGTGACCCTGTCCTGAGTGCCCGGCGGGCTCTGCCCCAGCCTCTCCCAGCCCCACCCTCCCTGTGCTGGGCCTTGTTCCTCTCCTGTCTGTGCCATGGTTCTTGTTCCCTTGGTGGTGCTGTGGGGCTCTCTGGGCAGGAAAGTTTGAGCTGCAGAGTCACCCCCTGCCCTTGTGGGTCCTTTCCTACAGCCCTGTCAATGGGAACAAGTGTCCCAGCTTTCCTCTGCCCTGGGAGCTCTGGGCAATGCTGTCAGTGTATCCAGGGAAGGAGCTGAATCTCCCTGAATCAAATGCCATCATCAGGATACTCGGCTGTCTCCCTAAAGTTTAATTTCAAGCTGGGAGCTTCCCTCCAGGATGAACACCTTTCTGTTATCTTTCTGTTATCTGAAAGCCCCAGGGACAAGCACAGAATTCAACAATGTAGAAAATGCTGTTGGGTTGGGGAAATGAGCCATGTCCGTTTTTGACTACCAGTGTGGTGCTGAGACCTTGAGAAAGGGACAGACATTTGATAGTCTGTGGTGGATCCATCTGCTTTCATTAGTACCTGGTGTTTTATAAGGGAAACACTGGGGTGTGATCATCATCCCTCTGAGAAAGTGAAAGCCCAGAGAATCCTGGAACACAAAAGAGTGACAGACCATGTCCCCTCCCTACCCACTGATCCCTTTCCCTCACAGAACTCCCTTTATTTCCCCAAGAGCAGCAGAAATTATGAGGTGTCTGACATCCCAGAATAGTCACCAGGGGAGATATGGGGGGAGCTGTAAAACCCCCCAGAACTCTTACCCTGCCTTTACAACTGCCATGGATTAGCACTGGGGGTGCAGATGGTGACAGGTCCTTCCACATTGGCAGGATTTCACAGGACAGAGTTGAGCACCAACACAGGTCCCTTTCCCTGCCAATTCTGCAGAGTGGGGCTGAATTCAAGAGCCTGTGGGCAGAGGCCCTGCCCTTCATTGCACACATGGCCAACACCAACCAGGGCTCCATGCAGAGAGCTAAAGGAAGGACTGCTAGAAAAAGAAAAGTGTCTGTGTGTGACAGAGAGAGGGGAGTGGAGTGTATGGGAATGGCTTTGATCAGATAGGTCCCCCTTTATTGTCACTGTTTTTTCTCCTGTCTCAGGTCCCCATGTCCAGAGGCAAATGTGCAACAGCAGCTCCATGCCCCAGTTCCTCCTCCTGGCATTCGCAGACAGGCAGGAGCTGCAACTCCTGCACTTCTGGCTCTTCCTGGGCATCTCTCTGGCTGCCCTCCTGGCCAACGGCCTCATCCTCAGCGCTGTAGCCTGTGACCACCACCTGCACACCTCCATGGGCTTCTTCCTGCTCAACCTCTCCCTCACAGACCTGGGCTGCATCTGCACCACTGTCCCCAAAGCCATGCACAATTCCCTCCATAAAACCACAACCATCTCCTACAAGGGATGTGCAGCACAGCTATTTTTACTTTTCTTTTTCATGTCAGTAGAGTATTTCCTCCTCACCATCGTGCTACGACCGCTACGTTGCCATCTGCAAACCCCTGCACTACGGGACCCTCCTGGGCAGCAGAGCTTGTGCCCACATGGCAGCAGCTGCCTGGGCCACTGGCTTTCTCTATTCTCTGCTGCACACAGCCAACACATTTTCCCTGCCCCTGTGCCAGGGCAATGCCCGGGGGCAGTTCTTCTGTGAAAGCCCACACAACCTCAAACTCTCCTGCTCAGGTACATACCTGAGGGATATTGGGCTTCTTGCTTTTAGTGGTTTTCCCTTTTGGGGATGTTTCATTTTCATTGTTTTCTCCTATGTGCAGATCTTCAGGGCTGTGCTGAGGATCCCCTCGGAGCAGGGATGGCACAAAGCCTTTTCCACGTGCCTCCCTCACCTGGCTGTGGTCTCCCTGTTCCTAAGCACTGCCACGTTTGCCTACCTGAAGCCCCCCTCCATCTCCTCCCCATCCCTGGACCTGGTCCTGTCAGTTCTGTACTCGGTGGTTCCTCCAGCACTGAACCCCCTCATCTACAGCCTCAGGAACCAGGAGCTCAAGGATGCCATAAGGAAAATGATAACTGGATGTTTTTCAGGAGCAATAAACTGCATATTTGCTCCTGCAGAATACTCATTGTGTAACATATTTTGGGCCCAGTCTGCCTTCTAAAGCTTTTGATAGTGGTGGGGGTGGGGGGCTTTCCTGTTTTTTCCCTCTGTTCATGTCATTAACACCAAAATTTTATTCTTCATCCCATATATAATTCACTCTCTACCTCTTTGTTTTCCACCCACAAAATATAGAAATCAGAAATCATGCTTTGTGTGCATTTAAACAAAATAAAAGTTTGTGCAGCAACGTATTTGTCAAACATCCTCCCTGTGATAGTTTGTACATGAGGAATCAAAATCTCTGAATGTAAGAAAGGACACAAATTCTTTTTTCCAGATTCTTCCTCCAAGACTTCCCCTGAAGCTGGAGGGCATTTCCATGTTTGCAGATGTGAAGGGGAAAAGAGTCCCAGCACTGCCAGGGAGCACCAGAACTGGGTCTGTTCAGAGCTGCTCCCTTTGCACTCCCACCCTCTCCTTTCCTGTCCATGCCCAAGGCCTGAGTGCTCTGGCAGCTCAGTCACTGTCCTGCTGTGTGTCAGGCCTGTGAGCACAGGCAGGGACAGGCCCTGGGCACTGCTGGGACAGGGCTGGGTCCAGTTCCAGCAGCAAAGGGGTTCCCCTCCAGGCACTTCCTGAAGGCTGAGGTCTTTTCCCAACACTGGTATCGAGAAGAAGTCCAAGGAATAGACTCTCAAAAGTCTTGTTGCTTTGCTTGTTTCTCCATGGAGACAGTGCAGTGAGGTCAGGGACCCACTGGGGCTTCAGGGACTGAGGGCTGGTTCAGATGTTGTGTGTTGGTGGCCGACGGCCAATGGAGATGACAAATGATCTCCAAGTCACCTGCCTGGGGCTCTGCAGCTTGTGAGGGCTCTGATGGCAGGTGAGGACTTGTCTGTAGGAAATCAGGAAGTGCAGGAGAACACAGAGGATCTGCAGGGACAGGCCATCCCATCCAGTCAGCAGGGAATGGAGCCCTGGAGCAGAATCCTGCCCAGGGTGGAGTCACCCAGAGATCAAGTACTAAATCTTGCTGTGAAGTGGCAAACAGAGCTCTGCAAGCCCAGGGGACACAGCAGGTACAAGGAAAACCTTTGCCAGTGACTTCTCTTGCCCTCAGTGAACCTCCACAGGTCGATCAAGAGCAGCCCCCAAAGCCATGTCTCAGCTCTGGAACAAGGCAGGGCCCCTCTGAGCCCCCTCCATGGCCACACAGGAGCGTCTGTGGGAGGTGGTCAGTGGCAGGGAGCACCATCAGCTGGCTCTGCCTCCCAGCTTGAGCAGCACAGCCCCACAGAGTCGCCCATGGCCCTGGGCCCCACAGCCCTCGTGCTCTGCAGAGCAACCCCCCCAGCTCAGGGGCTGTGGGGGGCATGGGCAGGGGGTGCTGGAAGGGCTGCTCAGACCAGCACAGACGTGTTCCCCTGGGGAAAGGCTCTGTGGGGAGATGGGATGTGCCAGGAGAAGAGCAGGACACCCTGTGTGAGCAGAGGGGCCATGGAAAGAGGCTGCCCTGGCCCTGGGG